AGGATGAGGGCAGCCCAGGTGGCTCAGCGGTTTAGCGCCACCTTCAGTCCAGGGCGTGATCCTGGAGACCCGGAATCGAGTCCCACGTCGGGCTCCCCGCAGGGAGCCTGCTTCTCCCTCTGCCTGTGTCTCTGCCTCTCTCTCTCTGTGTCTCTCATGAATAAATAAAATCTTTTAAAAAAATTGAAATTGAACAAATCATGATTAATCGGGAATTACACACTTTACCGATGTAGTGTTCCGATCGAGATGATGCTTGAGCTCTGCCGACGTTGTACTGTGTGGAGCCGGCCAAGTCCAAAGCCTCCTGGGCCTGATATTCAAGAAGCTGCGATGGGACGGGCTTCCCTCCCAGAGCCTCACCTTCCTCCAGGCAGGGATGGGACATGTGCGACGCCCCAAACCCCCTCCGCAGGGAACCTCTGGCCCTGCCCTGTGCAAAGGTACCCTGTGAGCATTTCAGATCGGTTCGTCTTCAGCCTGATTGTCGGGTTTCCATCGTTCCAGGATCCCTCCTCTTGTCCGAGGGTGTGTGTGTGTGTGTGTGTGTGTGTGTGTGTGTTTCCTATCATTTCTAAGGACCTGGAATAGAACACCATGTGTCCACCTTCTGGTACCTCTCAGAGTAGTTTCCCGATCTAAGATTATAATACAGTCTCCTTCTCTCCATTTTGTTGGAAGAACCAAGTAACACAATGATGTAAAAGAACCAGTGGAAGCAAATAAGAGACGGGTAATTACCACCAGTGCGTTCTCCAGACTGAGCTACAGGCCAGAGGTGGGAGCTCTCCTGAAGAGTTTAAACAAATAAATAGTTTTTGTCCACCTATGTCCTACCTGAGGTGTCCCACCCTTCCCAGGAAAATCCTAACGTGCATCATCCAGAAAAATTAAATTAGTGCTGCATTTTTAGAAAGATAGATGAGATCTACACAGTAGACAGATACAAACTTCGCTAACAGAAACAGAAAAACCCCCAACAGAAAGCCTCTGTCCATCTTGTTGAAAGGACGTAGGAGACCTCTACCTGCGAATATGGTGATCACATATTTTGGGGCACCAGGGTGGCTCAGTCGGTGAAGCAGCTGCCTTCGGGTCAGGTCATGGTCCCAGGGTCCTGGCATCGAGCCCTGCATCGGGCTCCCTGCTCCGCGGGGGGAGTCCGCTTCTCCCTCTGCTCATGTTCTCTGTCTCTCAAATAAATAAAATCTCCAAAAAAAAAAATATTTTGCTAAACATGCAGATTGCAAACCCATCCATGTGCAGTTCCGTTTTTGTAAAAAAAAAAAAAAAAAAAAAAACCAACAAAAACAAAAAAAAAACATGGTTTCTGTGTCAGCCCGGGGGGGGGGGGAGAGGGGAGAGGGTCTAGCAGGCTGGGGCCCCTAGTTTGCTGCCCCACCCCCACCTGGCCAGTGGCACCTGCCCCAGGTGAGCTGAGCCCAGGTGAGGCTGGCGGAGGGCAGGCGGGCGGCAGGGGGCGCTGTGGCTCCAAGGCTGCAGAAGGTGCCCACACAGCTCCCACCCCCACCTCCCCCACCCCCATCCCATCCCCCCCCCCCCCCCCCCCGCTGCCGTGGGCTCCTCCCTCCACCCCGTCCCTCCCCTCGCCACCCCCACATCCCGTGCCCCAGGGCCAGTGGAGCCAGTGGAGCCTCCAAACTCCAAAACGAGCAGCCCTCCCCATGAGCAGCCCTCCCCATTCCGAGGTCACCAGCCCGTGGCCCCTACCAACCCCCTTGGCCTCTGGGCTTCCTCCAGTCCCCGGGTGGTAGCAGCTTCCGCCTCCAGGGCCCCTCGAGCACGAGGCCCTCGCAGCACCCCTGCACCCCAGGCCTCAGGCTGCAGCTGCTTTACATGCATGGCCAGAGGTGCAGCCCCACCTCTGAGCAGCTCCCCCTCTGTGGCCACCCTGAACCAGGGGGACAGGCTACCGGCTGGGCGGCTGGGCGTCACCTCCCACACCCCCACCCGCTCAGCCTGGCTGAGCTCCCACGTGGGCACCGGGAGGTGGGCAGAGCATGACCTCGGCACCCTGGGCCGGGGGCGTCGGGAGGGGCCTCGCTGAAGGTGGCCTGTGCTGGTTCCGACCGGCTGGGAAGGGGGGACTACAGGCTGCAGGGTCGGGAGGGAGATCTGGGGAGACCACAGGAGCCCCTGCCAGTCCGCAGCCGCCCTCCCCCACCCCACCCACCCAGGCCACCCCAGCCCAGCACAGGAAGGCACAGGGAGGGGCCTCGGGGGGAAGTGACTCAGACACACCCACGTGGTCACCTGGTAGGGAAAGGTTTATTAAGATTTAACCACAGACTTACAGCAAAACAGACCCAGGGAGGCCCTGGGGGGAGGCCAGGTTGGCCTCGGAGTAAGGGACAGAAATGCAGCAGACATGCAGGCAAGGTCACCTGGGAAACCACAGAACCACGGGCTCTGCGGACAGACACCAGGCCACTTTTCACCACCTAATAAAAAAAGTTAATGTGCGATATTACTCTTCTTTATAGTCCCTTCTCCTCATAAAACATTATGTGTTTAACACACACTTATATCGTTGCTAAAATCAGCAAGAGCTATTATACTGCCCCAACTTAATAAGTTGATAAAAAAAAGTTGTCCTGTGGCCAGTTCACAATGGAACTAAATAGTGTTGTTCCGAGATGCCTGGGGAGTCTGGTAACAAGAGGCATTTCCAACAAATGGGTCCTTCTGCCCCCAAGAGCGCGTCTCAGTCCACAGCACGAGGGAGGGTGGCCCTGGCAGCCCGGGGGAGGGGGCACCGGGCCACCCTGAGGTCACGGCGGAGCGGCCCAGCTCGGGGCTCAGGCCAGGACAGCGGCGGCTGGCTTCGGTGAGGAGGTAATGGGCGGCTTTCCGGCTGGGCCCCCAAACGTGACGAGTGTCCAGCGCTGTGCCGATGGGACCCACCAGGCCAAGCGCCCCACGGAGGGGCCTCCAGGGCAGCCCGGCGGATGCTGGGCCTGCAGAGCAGCTGCTTGTGGATGCATGAGGAGGGCAGGGGGGGTTCCAGCAGCTCCGGGGCCCTGCTTCCCTCCCTCCCCCGGAGGTGGGCAGAGCTCCAAGGAGGGCGGGTGGGGGAAAGGAACGTTTGGTGGGTCTTTTCCAACGTGGGTTTGGATCCGGTGTGAACTAGCTGTTTTACCAGCTTGCCCTGCCCCTTAGCCCACGCTCGGCTTTCTCCACATCCTGCTGCCTGCGGCCCGGCACACAGGCTCCACTTTGGGGATGGGGGGGGGTGTCAGGGACCTGCTTCCCCACACTTTGGTACCTCAGACACTCACGTGAACACCTGAGGGGGGCCCTGGTCACCCTGCCTCCCTGCCTGCGCCTGGCCTGGCCCTCCCGAGGGCTCCAGGAACCCAAGGCTGGGTGTCGGGCAGTGCGCAGCGGCCGCCTCGCTCAGCAGGTGTGAAGCTGCTGCTGAGCCTCCTGCCCCCACTGCCACCGCACGGTCATGACAGCCCTCGGCCAACACATCAGGGGCGAAAGGGCACAGAGCGGGGGCCTGGCCTGACGCGGACAGCACCCCACCTCCTCCCCACACGCAGGCTCCAGCACAACCCAGACTTCAACTGCATGTGTTTGGGTCATTTCTTTGCCAGATTCTTTACTTTGCTGACTTATGGGGAACAAAAGGGCAAATCAGACCGTTAGCCTATTTTGGTGACAAGCCCATTTAATGCTACACAGCCATGCACCCAACAGCATGCCCGCCGGCCGTGCTCCCAGCCCACTGAGCTGTGCCCACGAAGCCCAAGGCCACCCAGGGGCCTGTCGGTCACCAGGCTGCACACGGACGGCCCTGGGACCATCTGCTGCATCCCCACTGAGCTACAGCGTTGGGAACCCCACTTGAGCCACAGACCACAACCACGTTCTGCAAACAGCCAGCTCCTCCTTGCACCTCTTAAGACACAGGTGAAGACACTCGAGGGTCTTGAGTCAGTGCGACCCTGAACAATCCTGAAACCCCCTCGCCGCAGGGGCGGGCTGGGGTGCACCTCCGCGCTCGCACCCGGACCAAGAGCCCAAGGCGGCAGCTGCGGACGACTCTGACCCCAACCACAAGGCACCTCCCTCTCCTCGCAGGTCTGCACACTGACCAGGCCCACAGAGTAAGAAAGAGCGGTCGTCAGCATCCACCGGGCTGCACGCCCTGCACACACCTGCACAGCCACCGGCATCTGCAGCCCCGTCCCGGGCTGCTTTCACGGTGCAGGGCGTCATGACCCTAAGAGGGGCCTCACAGTGTCCTCCGGGGCCTTGTCGTTTCAGATCACGGGGAAGCGTGAGGCTAGGGCTGCAAGGGCTGACATGCTTCTTTGGTGGTGGTCCCGCTGGAAGCCCCTCGCGCCAGCCTGGGCCCCGCGCGTCCCGCACACGCAGCCGTCGGGCTCCAGGTCTGGGGGCACCGGGCACAGAAGGGCCCAGGGAGCCGCGGCCCTCCTGCTGGAGGCCTGTGTTCGGTTCACATCGTATCTCAATTCGGGACCGATCCACCCCCACCCCAAATCCTCTACTCTCCTGTCATCTCCTTTCCTGGTAACCCCAGCTGGGCAGGCTGTGACCTGGAGGACCCAACCCAACTAGGGTCCTGGGAACCAAAGTGGGAGGACCCAGGGTCACAAAGCCATCAGGGGGACGGGCCGCACCGGATCCGGGGCCTGCCGAGGGGGCCCGGCCCAGCTCGCACAGGAGGCTGGGGCTTTGCACTGAGGCCAGCAGCGCTTCCAGCAGCAGGAGGACTGTCCCTGTCCGAGCTCGACATTCCCTAGGCCGCCTCACGGGTCAACACACAGAAAACGCTCACGTCCTGGCGCCGGTTCTCGGAGGTCCCGGGCTCCTGAGTGCAAGGGGGGCCGCTGCGGGCAGGCACCGCTGCTCCTCGGACACGAAACACGACCTGCCCGGTGCCACCAGCGGCTGGGGGACACGGCGCGACCAGAGGCCGGCCAAGTACGCTAGACAGCCAGTCCTTTGAATACACAGAAAATTCAAGTAATTTATTTAAAAACTGCTTAGTCTCATCTTGAAATATATATACATATATATATTACATATATGTGTATATATTTGCTTTAGAATGATCATATTGCAGCATGATTGTTCATGCATCTTAAGTTCTTTATTTAAAAAAAAAAAAAGACACAACTTGAGGCAGCGAAGTTATACCATCGTCTGTGTCCAGGTGACATCAGGAAGCTTGGACTGACCATTCCAAAAGAAAAGCAGAAACTGCTCAGTTATAGAGACTGTGGTTTTGAAGAGCATTCCCACGCAGCTGCAGCATCTCGTGACTGCGCTTCCCCAAAGTCCGAGTTTCGCTTAGACGCTGAAAGCAGAAACGCTGCAGTCCTCCAGGGAGCGGACCTTCCTTGGGTCCCAGACACTTGCTTCACTTTGCCACTGCTTGGACTCCAGCGTCGAGCGGGGTGAGCAGGCGACGAGGTCAGAAGAGGTCAGAGGAGTCCCGGTGCGCGGAGTCCCCACATGCCGGGGCGAGTCCCACACACCCGAGGTAGGCCTGGCGGCAGAACCCAGGGGGCAAGGCCGCGCCTGGGCTCTGCCCTCATGATTTCCCCAACAAATGGTTTAAACACGAGTCAAAGTGCAACGAAGGAGTCGACGACCTCTCCGGGAAGCTCAGGATGAAAACGACGGGGTCGGGGGGCCGGGGATGGACGTGTGCGCACCTGCTGGGGCCCACCTGCTGGCGGGGCGCTGCCCCCGTGGGGCGCACTCAGATCGCCCTCTCCTGCCCGGTGGGGGGCCCTGTCACCACGCCCCCCGCTGCCCCCCACCGCTGCCCAGAGGCAGGCCTGCCCCACGCGCCATCTGTCAGAATCTGAGGAAAATATGTGATGCTGTTTTCTTCTAAGAAAACCAGTTTTGAGAGAAAAAATTTTTTCTAAAATAACGGTAAAGAACAATACTCTCCAATAACTGCAGCACCAACAGAATGTGAGGACACCTGACAGCACGACCCGACCGTGTGGGCATCCGGAGAGGTGACGAAAGGGCTCAGTCACGGGCTACACGCTGCTGTCCGCGGGACGTACGCAGGGCACACACAGCGGACGACAGCAAGTACTTTCGTGTTTGGTTATGACCTTGGGAAATGAACATCTTATTTTTCTCTAAATTGCTTGTCTCGATTGTAAATCTGGCTTATAATTTTAAAACATGCAGAATAATACACCTGCAGAATACAAGTTGAAATTAGAAGATCTTTTTCAATTAAAAAAAAATTTCAAATGATTTTTTTAATCGTGGAAAAAGTAATTAGTGTGGTGTTTTTGCCTAGTGGCTCAGCCCTACCCTACAGCTACTGCATCCCCACCGTGTTGTGAAGAACTCTGGTTTGTGCTGCCACCAAAGCCAATAGTGACCAACCTGCCTGCCACCCGTGCCCCCCCCGGCCACCCCCCCTGGAATGTGTGTGCACCGGGATGAGGCTCAGACCATCGACTCTGTCTCCACCAGCCCCTGCAGGCCTTCCTTCCGGGACAGCGTCAGGACGGTGGGTTTCTCGCCGCCATCCCCGTCACCCGTCGGCTGGGAAGACAGGCCTCTCTGCTCCTCCTTGGCCTCTTCCGACACCTCTGGGTAGATCACCAGGAATGTGGCTGTCAGGAAGCCCAAGAAGGAGCCCACGGAGGCCACCATGGGGATGACGCGCACGGTCCCAACGGCGTCCACCACGCCCCCAAGGGCAGACGCCACCAGGATCTGGGAGATGTACACCTGGCAGGAGAGGATGGCGCAGTCTATGCCAAAGCCACGCTTGGAGCTCCCGGGGCTGTGGTGCACGTACTGCAAGAGAAGAGAGCACAAGAGTGAGGGTTGTGAGGGCAAGTTAAACCATCGGTCAACATTCCCGTGGTTTGAATATTAGCTCAGAAGTCTGGAAACAAAACTTGCCTTCCACTCAGCTGCTTGGCGACCACTCAGCCTGTCTCCCCGACCCCGTCCCACTTCTATTCAACATTGTATTGGAGACTCTGGCCATTGCAATAAGGCAAGGAAAATAAATAAAATGTATTAAGGATTGGAAAAGAAAAAAATAAATCTCATTATACACGGATGATGGGATTGTGTATGACGTCCAAAAGAATCTACAGATATGCTCTAAGAATTAACAGAAGAGTACACCACGTTTATGGGTAGAGAGGCTCAAGACTACAAAGTTTTTAACTCTCCCCAAATTGATCTATATAATCAGTGCATTTTCAATTAAAAAGCCCAGAAACTGATCTAACATTTAGATGGAAAAGTAAAAGGTCAAGAATACCCAAGACAATCTTACAGAAGAACAAAGCTGAAGGACGTACAGCATCAGGTTTTGAGTCTTATTACAAAACAGTGGAACGCTTGTCTGAGGACAGACCGGCCAGCCAGTGGAGAAGAGTATCGAGGGACCGGAAACACCACCCCCACACGCGGGCACCCAACTCCGACAGGGCCCGCACCGCAGTGCAGCCGGAGACCTCGTGGCCCTTAACAGTGAGTGGCACTGGGTCACGCAGCTACCCGTCCGTGGGAAAATGATAAAGTCACGCTCTTCTACCTCAAACCACACACACGCACAATGTATCCCAGGTGGACTGCAAGCGCGCACAGGACAAGGCGCCACCCAATGCCACCGCCAGCAGAATGGAGCAATAAACTGTGGCCATACGGTGAAATACGAAAGGGAATGAAGAACCGCCCTCTGCAAGCACAGGAGGGAAGCACAGGCGTGAAGTCAAAGCAGACACATTCCAATCACATAAGGTTCAAACATTGGCAAGATGACTACACGGAGCTAGAGCTTAGTACCAGCACCACTCTTCTATGGTTTCTTGGCCTGCATTAATTTCTCGTTCGTTTGCGAAAAATCCGCTAAGCTGTTCCTTTATAGTTTGGGTACTTTCCTGTAGTCGTGTTATACTTTAACTGAAAAGTTATTATTATTAAAGTTATTATTCTTTGTTGAGAAATAATGCTTTTATTTTGGTTTTCAATAGTTTGCTGTATGGTAGGCACCTAATCACACAGGATTTACTTTGCTTCTGTAATTGCACAAGAGAAGATTAAACATAGATTAGGTGTAGGAAGAAAGAAATACGAGCTTTCTCGTATCTCGAGGGTCTGTGTTGGAAGCTTGAGAACCACGGTCTACACCTGCACTGTGGCTGCTGAGCACTTGGCAAGGTGGCCGGTCTGAGTCGAGAGGTACCACGGGTGTGAAATACCCACAGCATTTCAAGGCTTGGACACATCAATCAATAGTTTATACTGAGTGTGTCTTGAAATAATGGTATTTTGAATGTGCTGCGATAAGCAGAATATGCCATTAAAGGGATTTTATAGGTCTAAACCCCAATTTAAAGGTAGCTACTCAAAAGTGTAGCCTGACCTAGACGGCACATGCTCTATTGGACAGGACAGTGCTGGTCACGCTCCCCTCGTCGGGGGCCTGTGAAGGGATTATTAAGGGGCAGCCAGCCCCCCGGGCACCCAAACAAAATCCCTAAGATGCAACTGAAGCGTCCAGGCAGGTGCCAGAGGGCAGGGGTGCCAGTTGCCAGGCCATGGGAGGAGCAGGGCCTTTGGAGGCAGGAAACCTGTGCCTTGGACTGACCCGGGCAGGCGGCTCTGTTGGTCCCTTCAGAACCAAAGACCTAGGGGGGGTGGTCTGCACCCCAGGTATCCCCCATGGAAGGCGTGGAGCTCTGCCTAGAGATGAGCAGAGAATGAGTATGGGCTTTGGAGCCTGATGATCTGACCTGACATGCATTTCAGGCTGGTGACCTCGTACCCCAGCCCCTCCTCCACTGCCCCCCCCCGGTGTCCCCCCTCACATGCCCCCCTGCCCCCCGCAGCCATGGACGCACCTCCTTGATGTCGTGGTACTGCCCAAGCAGGGCATAGGGGCAGTAGGAGATGCTCATGGAGACTATGCCCATGGTGCTGATCATGATCATGGCGACGTAGACGTTGGCAAACATGGCCATCACAGCCGTGCCAATGGAGAAGCCCAGCGTCCCCAGCACATAGATGACCCTGATGCTCAGGTCGTAGTTGTCCAAGTACTTCTGTAACAGGGCTGCAGAGAGAGCGAGGCCACAGGACAGTGACTGACAAGGCCCTGAGCCGCGTGCCCACCTCTCCTACCCCTTGTAGCCTCTGCGGCACGGAGGCCCTTCCCCGTGACCACCTGACCACCTGCCGCCGCACTGCTGCCCCGACCCCCACACACCTGCAGCTCACCATGCCTCCCTCGCTCAACTCCCAGGGGCTCCAGCACTTTTGGGGAAAAGTCAGCCCTCCGGGTCCCAGCGTCGGGAGCCTGGTCCCGTCGGGAGCCTGGTCCCATCGTGCAGCTCCCTGGACCCTCCCCGCCCTGCAGCCCACCCCAGCCCAGAACCTTCCCACCAGGCCACGCCCACACCTGGTCGAGACTTAGGATCTCCAGGGGTAGCTGGTTTCCTCAGGAGTAAATGAGGGACAGACTCCCACTCCTCCTTTCTACCCAGCGGCTTAATATCACCTCCCCCCGGAAACATCTCTGCCAAACACAGCCAGTCAGGCTGGCTTCCCGCTGTCTGGTGGCCTGGACCTTAGCCACCCTCAAGTCCAGGCCAGGCTGACACCACGTTGACCTTCCCCTTCTATGGTTCGTGTAGAGACGGGGCAGGACCCAGACCAGACTTGTTTAGGAGACCCCGTGCCCTGGCTGAGCCCCATTTCTGGAAGGCTGCTCCCAAGACTAGGGCTTGGCACCTGGACCCCCATCCTCGATGATAAAACCGCACTTCCAGCCCCTGCCCCCCGACAGTGCAGAACCTGAACACACCTCATGACCTCACGCCCGCTGTGGGATTGGCACCCCACTCCCTGTGTTCCTGGCTAAGATGCACGGAGCCTTCTGCGGGCTCGCCGGCACAGCTTGGGCAGTCCTGCCATCCCCCTGGGCCCGACCCTAGCCAGCCTCCCTCGGAGGAGCCGCCGGGCAGGAACCAGCTCACAGCACCAGCCTGCGTGGGGGCTCGGGAGGCACAATTCTAGACACACCAGTCTCCACGCCTCTGCCCTTGAGCCACAGCCGCGTTCAGAGTCAGGCCCACCTTCAGAGCAGGATGACCTTGACCTCGGCCCCACTTCCCAACCCACAGCATCTCCCAGGGAACGCCACTGCCGGCCCCGAGGACCACTTACCTGAGCAAATTGCGCCGGTGGCCGCGTAAATGACCAGGCCCCAGCAGCCCATCTTCACACCGGCGTTGTAGGCCTGCCAGGCAGTCGAGTTGGAGGGAGCCTGTTCCAAAAAGGAGAGACTGAGGTTCGGGGCGGGCAGGGACCATGTGCCACACCCTTTGGGCGAAGGAAGTTACTTCCCATCTCAACCGAGGGCAGGCTGTTTACAGTGCTGAGTGCTACACGGGACAGGAGCCTCAGCCACAGGACGGCTGGTCTCCGGGCAGTTTTAAGCCCCCACAGCCTCACCCCTGCCCTGCGCCGGAGTTGGAGGGAGGCCTGCCTGGAGGGGAGGGAGGCCGGGTCTGTGCTCAGGCCACAGGTGTGAGGCAGCTGATGCCACAGCAACAGAAGCAGGTCCCAGGCAAGCCGGGCCGCAGGGAACACGGGTTCCCCCACCCCCGCACTCCCGAGCAGCAAAGGGCAGGTGGGTGCGGAGCGGCGGGGCACCGCCTCCCTTCATGCCTCTCCAGCTCATCACCGCATACCCCTAACCACAGAATCTGGGGTGCACGTGGCCAGCTGCCCCCAGTCTGCCTTCTCCCTGCACCACACAGGCACCGGGCAGCAGATGCTGTCTCGGGAGCAGCCCGTCCGCCGCTGAGCCCCCGCCCACCATCCCTCCTGCTGCCACACACCCCCCAGCCACCACCCCTCCAGCTGCCAAAAGCGAGGGCCCGGGCTCTCACCTTGGGGTCCCCTTCAAAGATGACCTGGCCCATGAAGTCAGTGTAGAACACGGCCTCGGCGATGACGGAGAACCAGGTGAGCAGGTGGCAGAGGCACAGCCGCATCAGCTCCTTGGGCATCTTCAGCATGGACAGCCACAGCAGCCGCACGGTGGTCTCGCCCTCCCCCTCCTCGCTCTCCGTGTCCCCACTGGACGTGGTGGCCCCACTCTGGTTCCGGTGCCGGCAGCGCTGCCGCTGCCGCTTCTGCAGGTCGTACAGGTCGCTCATGCTGCGCGACGGCTTGATGAGGACCACGGCGTTGGCCCGCCGATAGCGGTAGCGGTGGGAACCGATCTTGCCGTAGTAGGAGAAGGTGCTGGAGGCCTGGCGGCGGAACATGTGCCTTCGCCGCCTCATGGAGCTGGACGCGGCCGAGGGCTTCGTGTCCACCCTGGTGTAGCCGACCAGGCCGTCTTTCGGGGGAGAGCCGCTCCCATTGGGGACTTTGGCTTCATTCAAGTGATTATCGAGCAGCGTCTCATCCTCCTTCGCGGTTTCCCTGAGCAGTGAGGCTAGGCGGGCCGGCCTGGCTCTGGCGAGCTCCTGGCTGGTGCTGCGGGGGGTGCCGGGGTACGAGCCGTCGTGGAAGATGGAGGGCTCGATGTCGGGCAGGAAGGGCAGCTCGGGCTCCAGGTCCAGGGCGGCGTCAGGCACGTGCAGCACGGAGTCGCTCTTGCTCCGTACCATGTCCACACTCAGGTAGTCCAGGGTGAGCTCGTGCTCTGACTGCACCTCCTCAGGGAACAGGGCCACGCCACCGTCCAGGACGTGCACGCGGGTGGCGGGGGCCAGGGCGTCGGCCACCTCCCCGCCCCGCTCCTGCTGGGGGCTGTACTGCTCCTCCTCGATGCTGAACAGGTGCAGGGTCACCGACACCACGAAGATGATGGCCGCGAAGAAGAAGAGCACCTGGTTCTGTGTCCGGAACCAGGCGCCCAAGAAGGTCTGGGTCCAGTCCAGGCCCCCCAGCACGTAGCCGATGGCCCCGCCGAGGCCTGATTGGGTGGGAGAGACAGAGGGAGCCCGTGAGTGGTGCAGGGCACCTCGACACTCCCTCCCTGAGGAGGAGAAGCTAGGAAAGGTCTAGAAGAGCCTCTACCCTTAATCCTGGACCAGGGCCACCACTCATAGCTACGTCCTGAGTCAGGATGAGTTTTGGGGATGGAAAATGAGAAAACGGTAGGAAAAACAAGACGAGAAACTACAGCTGACCCTAGGTTTGGAGATTAACAGACTCCTGCCTAAGGAATAGGGAGCAGCTCTCTGCCAGGAAAGGAAATGGATAGCTGCCCTCGACTCCGGGCAGTCCTGACCGCGTAGCCCTAAGCTCAGGAAGCTGCTGTTCCCAACGGATGTCAACAGAGCCCGAGTGCAGGGACAGGTTAGCAGCGGCCTGCTCACCACCTCGCCCACCAGCAGCCATCCAGCACCCCCACCCCGAGGTGGGGAGGAGGGGGCCACGGGAACAGCCTTCCCCACGCTGGTCCTCCCGGGATGAACCGGGTAAGGGCTGGGGGCATGCTCTCACCAGCAGAGAAGGCGTGGATGTTAAGGGCCATGTCCTGCTCCTCGCTGTCCACCACATCCAATAGGTAGGCACGGATGGGGCCCTCAGTCGCATCGGCGCTGAAATCCAGGATGACCACCCCCAGCACTGTGAGGACAATGCCGATGGGTTGCCGGTTGGGGACATCACCGAGGGACAGGCCTGAACAAACACACGGGGGCAGTCAGGCCTCAGCTCCTAGGAGAGGACGGCCACCAAAGGGGAGGTGGGGACGCTCTGGCCAAGGTCAGAAAGGGGCGCGTCCCTTGGGACAGACTCTAGGACAGAAGATGGGCTTTGGTTTTTTCTATTTCTGTTGCTTGTAGGATTATTCTTTCTCCAGTCACGTGAGCTATTGGGTGAACCTCAAGGAGCTCGCTTATCTTTACCTTTTGTAGCTAAAGAGGGAAAATGGTCCTTCCTCCCCAACCCTCACAGGGGAAGCAGGGCCGTGTTGGGAGCATTAACTGAGCACCAGTGAGAAGAGGTGATGGGTGACACCCTGAGGTGCACGCACTGCCAGGGTTCAGGATCAGCTGCCAGCCAGGGCCTGGGGGGGAGCGTGTGCACCCACCTGGCCCAGTGCCTGCAGGGGCGCCCCCTCAGTGGGTCTCCCCGGTCATCCACACACACGTCCCTATTCATCCGCTGTGGTTTCACACAAAAAAAGACTGAATCCGTCTAACTGACACTACACGGTGACCCCGGGTTTATTTTCTAATTTGCTTTAAGAAGAGTTAACATTTTAAGGCCAACACTGAGAACATTTCCTAAGGCAGACGGCACGCAAGGCACCGGCCAGAACCACGGGCGAGCTGTCCTGAGGGCCAGGGTCAGACCGCAGGTGAGACACCATGGGAAGTACTCACGACACCCACCTCCACCCCCAGGGCCGGTCAAGCACCTTCTAGGAAGGGCCTGGGTGCCAGAAACGCGTGGCCCTGAGGAGCGACGTGAACGGCCCTGCTCAAGCACCATTCCTCCCTCAGTGGGCTGGAAGCACTCAAAGCAGCTCCGAGCACAGCCACGTCTCACCGAGTATGCCCTGAACCCAGAAAGCAACCCGGTACCCTGATGGTTGAGCTACGGCCGGGTGCTTGAGCTCTGCTGGCATCCTGTCCCCACGCACGTGCAGGTGGCAGCGGGTACAGAACGGGACGGGAGCCCCGAGCAGATTCGCGGCAGCACAGGAGGTGTGGGGGAGAAGCCCAGGAGAAGCGTGAGCTGCCCAAGAGAGGGCGTCGGGGGGGGCCGTAGCCCACTCGTCCCTGCCCCTTGAGGCCACGTTCCAGCAGGACCACCTGCGCAGGCGCAGCCTTCGAGGCCACAGCTTTCCCTCTGGGTCCTTGTGTTGGGAGGGGACGCCGGGCCCCTAGGTTGGAAGTGACCACCTGAGAGAGCCTGCGGCCCCAGCCCACAGGGGCCTGGACTCCGGGCCGGCAGGGAGCAGGGGCCTCGGGGAAACAGAGGGTTTCTGGGGCGCCTTGTGAGTGCTCCCACATCACTGGCTTCCACCTCACTTGTCGCAGACGTGGGGCATGCCCGCTTACATCAGATCACAGATGAAGGCTCCGCCTTAAACAGTCATTGCCAGAAAATAAGGTTTTGTTTTTAGCAGTTTTGATGGGCTCCCTCAGGGCAAAAACTATTTTCCCACAAAGAGCTGCTTTAATTAAACACCAAACAACAACAACAACAACAAAGGCAGAACAAACCATGAGTACGTGAAACAAAAAAAAAGTATGGAACTGGGTCTGGACGCTTTCAATACCAAGTCTGAGAAACGGAGAAAAACGGAGAGGGAATTTTTGCAGCAAGGCTGGAAACAGGACGTGCTGTCAGATACGCAAGGAAAACAAGCGGGTCACAACAGGAAGGGCTTCCCTGCGAACAGGTCCCCACTGCGTTCCCACGTGGGGCCCGGAAGCCTTAGGGCAGCCGCTGCCGCCAGGCTGCCCCCCGCGGGGCTCTCGGGGCGCGGGGACACTCACCGATGGCAGAGCCGTTCAGGAAGAGCGCCATGCCGAAGAGCACGCCGACGCACAGGGCGAGGATGAAGGGCCGCCGGCGGCCCCAGCTCAGGGTGCAGCGGTCACTGGCTGAGCCGATGATGGGCGTGAAGAAGAGGCCGAGGACGGGGCTCAGGAACCAGGTAAGGCTGTAGTACTGCTCCGGGAGGCCTGCGGCAGACACAGGCGGCTGTCGGGCACACACAGACCCCGCACCCCGGGGATGGGCGCCGCCGGCACAGGCATGCATGCACGTGGGCACACACATCTGGGTGCAGGAGACGCTGCGGGGTCCCAGTGCCTCCCTCGGAAGCGGAGAGATTGGGAACCAACCACAGCCCCATGAGAAGCATCAGGCAGCCTGGGGCCAGCACCTGGGACCTGCTGCAGGTGCACCCACACCCAGGCACCTGGTGTGACGAGCAGAGCCTGGACTGGCCACACACACGTGGAGACCAGGCCCCGTGGGGCCAGCCCCTGGGACCTGCTGCAGGTGCATCCGGGCACCCGGTGTGACGAACAGAGCCTGAACCGGCCACACACAGTAGAGACCAGGCCCTGTGGGGTCAGCCCCTCGGACCTGTTGCAGGTGCACCCACACCCGGGCGCCCGGTGTGACAAGCAGAGCCTGGACTGGCCACGCACATGCAGAGACCAGGCCCCGTGGGGCCAGTGGCACACGGCCCTCTCCTGCACTAGTGCTTACCGCCACCCCACAGGCAGCAGACACCAGGCCCGCATCAGCCCGCGACCAGGGGAGTAATCAGGAGTAGTGAGGACCTGCACTGGAGCCACTCTGGGCCTCACTGGCCAGAACATATCCCCGGAGGGCCTCTGAGGGGCCACCTAGCCACGGGCGTCCTAAACGCCCACAGCAGCGGCCTTCCGAGGCACCACTGAGGGCCCCACGAGAAGGGAAGGCATCATAAGGCGTTCAGCTGGAGCCAAGGTGTCTACTGGCAGGAGACACTCTGATCTGACCCCCTGCCCGCCCAGGGAGGCGGGGATCGCTGTGCGCCCATTTTCCAGGTGAGGAATCTGAAGCTCAGAGAAGTTAGGGACTCTGCACGAGATGCACAGTGAGAAGCAAGGATCCCTTTCAGCCTACATGCTGCCACCCTATCACACACACCCCGTGCCCATCACGGGTGGAACGGCACACCCACACCCCAGAGCAAGACGCAGCAGCTGGGGGGAGGGGCAGGCTGCACCCACACATGCAGCCACAGGAGCGCACACTGGGTTCCATGCGTGTGAAGGCCACAAAGGCTCATAGGCTGTCATTGACCTTGGGGGCAGGGGCTCCGGGGCCAATGTGTTCTGTTCTTTATCTGGACGGGCCACTGCTGACAGGTCACCTCACTCCAGGCGCCCATCACGCACCTGCATCGTACTTCAATGAAGTTAACTTGCATGAGAGGGCTTCGGCAGGCCAGCGATCCCCGGCTAGGGCTCCGCACCCCACAGGCCCCGGGACATGGGGTGCCGGCCAGCACATCATCCACACGCGCCTGGCAGGGAAGGACCCTGCAGCGATGCGGTCTGCAGCGCAGCCGTCTGCTCTGGCCTCCACAGCACAGAGCTTTAGGGAGGGGGAGCGCTGTTCCTAGTCAAGTCTGCAGACCGTACGGATGTCCCAGGAAATGAGCGGCGTGCCGAGCGTGTCCCTGGGTGTGCTACGGCTGCCACGGCAGGCCTGGGCCAGGCGGGTGAGGGGGGCAACACGGACCGCACAGGCTAGGCCGGCACTGCCCCGTGCGGGAGCCCGTGGCCGTGCCCTGATCCTCAGAGACGACTGCCGGCAAACCTACCCCACGTGTGTGACCCGACCTGGTCACTATCTCAGAGGATGGGACGCGGCCTTACTTCAGGGCACACGGACTCTTACTTTGGTTGGGGTTTTAACAGGGCACAACGTGACTAACAAACACTGGCCGGCCTATAGACACGTGGCTCCCGGCAGAGTTCACGCTCACGCATGCACACCGGGGGACCTGACCACACCTGCCCTCCCTCCCCGGGCCTGGCCTTGCTGCACACCTCCCACCGTCTGCAGCTCCGGCGGGGAGCACCTTCCGGAGGCCCCCAAGGCCCGAGTACCACCACTGCTCGGTTTCCACAAGTCCTAACCACCTGTATGTATTCCCCCAAAGCATGCATTCCTGACGGTGGTCCCTGGTTTATTTGTCCCCGCGTGGTAGGAGACTCGCCGAGGGGCTCATGTTTGTGCAACTGCACCAAACCCTGAGATGCGCCTATAGGACCAGCGAGAAGACCCTGACCACCGACCCTCTACTAACCCATGCTTGGGCTGCAGAGGTCAGCCCACCCACCCCCCTGCGGCCCAGTCCTTGGCTGTGGCTGGCCCCCTCCGGCCCGGGACGCCCTCCCTACCAGGCCTGCATCCATCTACCCCGTGACGGCAAGCCCTTCCAGAGTTCCGACAAGCTCACGGCCTCCAGCGAGATGCAAAGGGCCTTGCCCACCTGCTGCACCGCAGCCTGGCACCACATTTCGAGGCCCCGCCTCAGCACACGACGCACCCCTGACCTGCTGGGCCTGCCCCGGGGCTGTGGCAGCAAAATCCTGGATCCTGCTCACCTTTGTGTTCGGGATCCCCAAGCGCGGTGTCAGGAGCACACGCATCCCTGTGCCCGTGCCCCATCTCACTGACCTTTCTGCAGGCCACGCCCGTCTTTACCAGGAGTCCACCTGGATGCTAGTGTGACTTCCCCGGGGCTCAGGCTTCCCACCTGCACGGCAGATCGATCGGCCCCGCGGCATATTCCAAGCGTGTGGCCCTCCGCACATCAGCGGCTCCTCATCGCTCTGCTGGTCCTTCTCCTGGACTATCGTGTCCCCTTGCGCGCAGCGGGATTCCTTACCTGGCTGAGGGGATTCCTTGCTTTCTCTGCACCTCTCGTTCCTGCCTACTCTGGGCCAAGCTAACTGAATCCCGTGTTGCCTTCCACCTTCACGTCCACGCGCCTTTTCAGCATTATCCTGAGTAGCTGCTCTAGAGATTTCATCACACGCCGACTCCTCAGTCTAGTGGATGATAAGCCCAGCACGTAAGCAAGAACCTCTCGGCTGTGTCTTTGTCCCCAAGCCTCCTCCGGCTACAGGTGCTACATGCGTCATACCCGCAGACTGTGTAAACCTCATTCTGCGCTGTGCTGTTCGTTTTAAACAGCCCTGCTTATTTTAAGGGAATTAAAAGGAAACCTTTTATTTCTACCTCCTATTCAACATCTTTTTCTTCCCTCCTGAAGACCTGAGTGCTCAAGTGGCACCACGTCCCTTCTGCCTCAAGGACTGTCTTTAGTCTCTTCAGCATTTCTTCCAGCAATCTGCTGACGGCAAGTACTCTCTAAAATCTCTCTCACTTTTATTCTTAAAGGGTATTTTTGCTGGATAAAGAATTCTGGGGTAACTCCTCCCGCATCGCCCTCAGGAGCTGTGAGGAGGTTGTTCCCCTGTGTCTGCAGAGAAGGCGGTGACATTTCATGTGACTGGAGATGTGAAATGTCTTCCTCTCCTCTGGGTGCTTAAGATTTTCTCGATCTGGTTTGGTTTTCAGCAGTTGGACTATGATGAGCCTAAGCAAAGTTTTCTTTTTCCTTTCTCCTGCTTGGCCTCTGCTGAGCTCCCTGAGCCTGTACACGTTCACCTTTCAGCATGCTTGGGAAATTTTGTTAGTTCTCCCAATCTGCTGCGCCCCATCCTCTGGGACCCCAAACACAGGTGGGACAGACCCGCTGCCTCTGTCCCCACTCGTTCCTGTTCTCCAACTCGGTCCTCCCTGTTCTTCCATCATTTCTGCCCAACAAGCTTTCAGTATGTTGTCTCGTCCTACCCCAGCTCCTGATTTTTTCAGGTGTTATATTTTTCAGTTCTAGAAATTTCCATCTGGTTCTTCTTTTTCTCCAATAGTTTCTCTGTTGAGATCTCCTACTTCCCACCAGGAGGTCTTCCTTCACGTCCTTGAGCACTCTTACACTAGCCTGATGATTCCCAGGTGAGTCACTACCTTGGGATGAGTCTCCACCGCCACCTTTAAACTGGACTAAGGGTCACGTTTTCATCTTCCCTGTTTCTTATCTCCAAGAATACCAAGCTGTACCCTAGACATTATGAAGGACATACTGTAGAGACTCTACATTCTGCTACATTCCTTTGAAGGGTGTTGATATTCTCATTTTAACAACCAACTTGGCTGGACTCAAACTCAAAACTTTCCCCTGCAACAGGAGACAGAGGAAATCTGTTCCCTTCTTTTCACTGAGCTGCTTGGAATCTGGCCCATAAATCCACATTTCAAGAACCAGTCATCAGAGGGGCGCCTGGTAGCTCAGTCAGTTGAGTCTCTGACTCTTGGTTTTGGCTGAGGTCATGAACTCGGGGTCATGGGATGAAGCCCTTCATCAGGCTATGTGCTCAATGTGGAGCCTGCCCAAAACTCTTTACCCTCTGCTCCTCCCAGCTGCCTGTCTTCTCTCTAAAACGGATAAATAAAACTTAAAAAAAAAAAAAAAATCAGGGATCCCTGGGTGGCGCAGCGGTTTGGCGCCTGCCTTTGGCCCAGGGCGCGATCCTGGAGACCCGGGATCGAATCCCACATCGGGCTCCCGGTGCATGGAGCCTGCTTCTCCCTCTGCCTGTGTCTCTGCCCCTCTCTCTCTCTCTGTGACTATCATAAATAAATAAAAATTAAAAAAAAAAAAAATCAGCCAGAGATACGAGCAGAGATGTCCCCAGAGTCCCCTGGGTTCCCCTGGCTGCAGAAGGTACCCCACTCAAACTCTGTTCCAAACTTTATCCGAGTCCTTCCAGCAACAGGGCACACGTCCAGCCGACCTCGCTGCCGTGTGGCATCAAACAAGGCCCGTCTGTAGGGTGAAGGCTGTAAACGACGAGAGCTCGTCCAGCACTGTTCCCTTCTGTTTCCCAATGTTCCAGCGGCTTCGGGGAGCTGCTTTCACATTTGGTCCAGAAATTCTGTTAACGGCAGAACAGTTGTTCTGATGCGAGTCACCGCGCTCCTTCTGCTTGGCTTTCAAAATGAGTAATGTCGAGTTCTAGCATTTCATTTGATCCTTGCACAGCTCTGTGAGGCCAAGTAGTGCCTTTACCGCACCCCGAGCTGTGGCCGGCTTCCCTGCATGGTAAGC